GTTAATAGTACGACAAGTATCATAACAAGAGAGTCGAATAAAGAAGTTGTTGATGTTTACGGTGGATGTGGAAGCCAAGAAGATCGGCGAAAATGGGGTTATGAACATATGTCAGAAGAAGAAATTCGAGATTTAGGTGATAAACATGTTGCTTGGCGTTATATCTTATAACTTTTTATTGGATGTTATAATATGTTGTATCTTTAGATAATGAAAATGTAAAAATGTTTATGTGTGATAATACTTCTTTTTTTACTTAAATTGAAGTATCACTTTAAAATAAATAATAGTGCAGTAATTCTATTATCTTTGCTGTTGATATTTTAATCATATTTGTGTAGTAATTAAGTCGAATAGCATGTCATAGTTGAATGAAAATGGAAATTTTCATTTGTATTTTTGAAAATTATCTTAGTTAGATGTAGAAAATATTTAAAATACAAATTTTCACGCGTCTTGATAATAATCAATGATATCTTTCAATGTATATCTGGTGAATATTCGAGTAGAGATTTCCGAAAACTGGATCGAATCCGAATTGACATCTACCTATTCGTTTCAGTCTCTAAAATAGACTAGGAAACATTCGAAGACAATAATGTAATCAAAACTTGTATAACTGAGAACATTTAAACTATTCACATGACAATGTATGTAAAAACATCCTGCAGTCTATTGCTTGTTATCTATATACACAATAATTTCATCATAATGGTTGTTTGACTTTATCAATATTAATGTATTATTGTCATTAAATGAAAATAGCTAATAAGATCTTTGAACTGAATGATTTTAACATGTTTCAACGATCATTAATAAAATTACATTATTTTAATGTAGACCTATAGTCAAACGTTTCACTATCAGTGACCTCTATTATGTTCAAACGAAAAACCCATTTTAGCTTTCTTTCATATCAATCTTCGAAATAGTTCAATTTATTGAATAGATATATGTGAAAAAAACATATCGAAAATCATGTCTAATATTTGTGAACATCCATTTTGTACTCGTTATATATCTAGAAAATGTTTAAATCATTGTCAATTAGATTTATGTGACGAACATTTAACTGAACATAAAAATTTATTTTTTGTTCAATATGAAAAATCTTTTAATAATCTCACTAAATCATTCGATGACTTAACATATTTAATAGAAGAAACAAAGAATAAATTTTTTATTAATTATCAAAACGATATTTCATTAATTAATGAAAACTATCGAAATAAATTAAATGAAATTGAAGACAAATCTTCATTGATTATTTCAACAGAAAATTTAATTAAAAAAAAACTTCAACTTTTATCGGATGTTAAAAATAATCAAGCATTTCTATATCAATATGATATTGAACAAATTAAATTATATTCAAATAAAATTCATGAGACGAACATAGTAGAAACGTAAGAAAATTATTTTTTTAATAAAACATTTCTTTTTCTTCTCTTCAAGTCTCAGTGATGAAATGTTTTCATTAAGTCCGAGTTCCGATGATGATGATTATTCTCAAGTAAATAACAAGAAAAACGATATTAGTTTTAAAGAATATCGTGGCATATGTCCTTTAGCTCATTATGGTGTCTATGGTCTTAATAATAAACATAATATACGTTTATGTTCACATGAAAAGGATAAAATTGATCGTAATTTATATTCACATTTTCATCATTATCATCATTTAACAAATTCGTTATCATCTCGATTAACCAAAGCTGTTATTGATAAATTAAATCCTTTAACAACATATATTTTTCCATCAGAACAAAAGATAACTGACAAACGTTATGATATGATTGTATGTCCGTTAGATAAAGCGAAATTATCTATTTGTAAAAGAAAATTTTTAAGGCAATCATTAAAAACACATTTATTACGTGTTCATCATTTAACATTAGAAACAAGTAATAAAATTCTCGATAATATGAAAAAACAAGGTGATTTGACAAAAATTGATTTTGATGAAGATGAATTTAAATAGAAAAAATAACAATGATGTATGTATATATATACTATTTGATTAACCTTACATAAGACAGCTTCTCATTTGATACACTCTATGTAATTAAAAATATCGTTTTCATAAGATTTGTCTTGTTTTGTTTCAGACGATCAAAGATGATTATAGTATCTAATTGAACAATAATAAAAGAAAAA